AAACTTCCCCCTGGCGATTATTACTATATCATCCGCAAAGCCTTGGCAGCGTATACCATTGCCAGAGATAAGTTTAAGGAGTTTATCCACCACTAAGCTCCACAGAAGGGGTGATAAGACCCCTCCCTGCGGACAACCCTTTGTTGTCTGAAGCTGTACGCAAGAGCGCATCCACCCAATAGCGGTAGTTATAAACGATTTCATCAAAAGTTGCTATTAAGAGAGGAAAAAATAAAAAAATTCATTATTCGAAAAATTTGCATTTCTGAGCAAAAAGAAAAAATACGTGTCTCCTTAAATTGTTCAAGGAACAATCCATGTGAGTTTTATCGCGAACTTAAATTCACTTTCCCCCGGCCTGGGTGATTTGAGATGGAATGAGCCTTATATATTGTATCATTGCATGCTAACATTAACATACACATATACATATATACTCACATACCTACTAACCCAGTAGTGCATATACCTTGTACGGCACACGGGAAAACTATTAAGAAGCGCGGTAAAATCAAAATACTCAATATAAAGATTTTAATTACGGTAATTTGAAGAAGCCTTGTTTATTAACAAAAAATAAAATAAAATAAACACCCAATCGGAAACAAAAATAAAATTAACAGGTTCCCTGTCCAATGAATCACATGTGATTCATGGGAACAGTTTTTTACCTTGTCTCACAAGTCCATGCATCATATATGAGCAATATCAATGCTGACTTCAGATACATATTTCTAGGTATTTTGGAAAAAATATAGTGTTTTTGTGTGGAAACATACATACATAGGACGTACCTTATCGAAAACTATTTCCCACCCTTATGTTATACATGAGATATTAATAATTAATTTTTTTTTGCATAAGGGCATATAATCTACGCTGTTTGCATATTTTTATATGCAAATAATATCAAATCAGATAAAGAATCCTGAAAAGAACGGGGGACGTATGCCATGAAAAAAGATGTATTGCATGGGGACAGGGAACCTGTTAATATAAATAAAAAAAAAAAGAATAATATAGCGAGAGTATTGCGGTACATTGTGTTACTATAAATAAAAGTAAGTCAAAATCCGAACGACGATACGGGAACTTGCTTATATTATTCGCGGTTAATTAAATACAGAGACAAAATAAAATAAAATCTATATATTCTCGCATACATAAATGCCTTCTGATAAAACTCCAGCAAAGGAGCAATTAGCCAAAACCCCAACCACTTTAAAAGTACCAACAATGGTTGATGAGGATAAGCCTCAAGGCACACCTGCAGAAGCTACACGCTTGAAGCAGGGTGCAAAACAGAGAAAATCGGTTCTGAATCGGTTCTGGAAATAAAAAACCACAACCTTGACAACTTCTGGGCGCGCCTTCAAGAGCATATGACACAATTATAGAAACGATGATTCCGATTTACCCGAGAATTTCAAAGCTTCGGCTGCCGCTAAATACGAAAACTGCCTTGACCAATATGAAGAGACAAAAGCTATGATCTCCGACCAGCTTAAGTTACTAAAACCAGTTAGCGCACCTACTCCACCCCCGAGAGTAGAAGTAAGCCAAATTCAAGAGCAAAGCTCAGGCATATATCTCAAA